GATGAAAAGATATTGCCGCTCGACTGATTCGGAGTGAGACCTCTGCTGTTAAACTGGAGCCGGTCATAAGCACACTGCCCAGGTATAGGAAGCTCTCCACTCGCTCCACAACTGCCCCATCACCGATTGGGAGTTGTGGGGGTGGAGTGTCCGATGGTACAAAATACCCAGGCAGGTGCTTAGTTTTGGTGGGGCTGATGGTAAGGCCCCAACTCTTAGTGGCACGCTCCAGTCTCAGCAGCAGCGTCTCCAACTCCTCCTCTGAATGAGCAGCTATTACCAAATCATCAGCATACATAACGTGGTTGAGCAATAGGGAGCCATCCCTTGACCGCACCCGGGCATTGATCAGCATCCCATTATATCTGTACCATATGGAGATTCCCCCGGTACAGCTATTGAAGGCTTCACGAACTACGTTAAATAATGTGGGAGCCAGAGGACATCCCTGTCGCACCCCAAGGTGTACAGGGAATGGCTCTGACTCCCGGCCACGTAGTTTTACCCGGGCCCGCTCACCATCATGAAGGTCCTTAATGATCGTGAGCAGAGGGTCAGGTACTCCAAAAGCACAAAGAACAACCCAGAGCCCAGGCCTACTGATGGTATCATAGGCCTTGACCAGGTCAATAAAGCAGAGATGTAGGTCTTGTTGGAATTCCCTACACCTTTGCTGTAGCAGACGGACAGAAAATATGGCATCTGTGCAGGAACGCCCTTTCCTCAAACTGCATTGGGGCTCCGCAAGCCCCTCCTCAGCGTGCCTGGCAAGGCGATGTTGAATAATCCTTGCCAGGACCTTTCCCGGCACACTGAGGAGTGAGATGCCCCTGTAGTTGTTACAGTCTGTGCGGTCCCCTTTCTTAAAAAGGGGGACCACCAGGGCATCCTTCCAATCCTGCGGAACCCGTCCAGTGGTCCAGACTGTTGTTATGATGTCATATAGGGCAGTCTGTGCACAAACGCCACCCTCCCTCAGCATTTCGCTTGGGAGATCATCTCTGCCCGCTGCCTTTCCTGGTCTCAGACTCCGGATCGCCTTCAGTACTTCCTCAACAGATGCCACCTCAGCCAGCCACTCACAGGGGGTGACTTCTTCCAATATTTGAGGCATCGCAGCCTCAGCAGAGTCATCCTCACTTTGTGCCGCGATGTTTTCCTGGCTGAGGGATTTTCCCTCCCCCAGGACCTCACAGAAATGCTCAGCAAATCTGCAAACCTGTTCCTGGGGGTCGGAGATTGGATCACCGTTTTTTCCCCTAATGATGGTAATAGGTGTGGCGCTGCAGATTACTTTTTTTATAGAGTTAAATAGAGATTTGTGATCACGGGCCACTGAGGCAGACTCCATCTCCTCAGCAACCCGCGACCACCACCCATCCTTGCAGCGCCTCACGGCTCTCCGAACCTCCGTGCAAAGGCTGCGGTAAGCCTCCTCATTCTCTGACGTGGGATTCTGTAGCCGATGACAGTGGGCCTGTCACTTTTTCTCAACCATCCTGAACACCTCCTCTGTCAGCCAGGATCTCTGGGGAGGTCTGGACCGCGTACCCAAAGCAGCCATTGCAGCTGCATGAGTCACAGTCCTAAGCCTCGCCCATTTACCCTCGACATCAGGAGGAGTCGGGGACGATGCCAATCGCAGCCGCAAGCGATGATGAAATTCTCGCTTGCAACTTTCATCAGATAACTGAGACTAGGCCACTTTAGGTTGGAATGGGGTCCTGGGTGTACACCCACCACCGGAGTGGAAGAATGGCAGGCGCATCTTACAGATGACTAGTCGATGGTCAGAGGGCAGATCAGCTCCACAGTAGGTCCTGGTGTCAAGGACATGGGCTCGCATCCGCTAGTCCGTCACTATGTAGTCCAGCAGATGTTCTTGCTTGGACCCGGCATGCATCCATGATGTTGTGTGGATGCGCCGATGCCGGAACAGCGTGTTGGTAATTACAAGCCCATGGGCTGCACAAAAATCTAGCAGCCTCCTACCGTTGTTATTGAGCTGACCTGGCCCATGCCCTCCAATCACTCCAGACCAGGTGCCAGCATCATGACCAACTCAGGCATTGAAGTCACCCAACATGATGACTCTATCCCGAGGGGCCACTTTAGCCAGCACCTGTGACAGGAGGTCATAGAAGGCATCTGACTCGGCTTTGCCTGCATCCCTCCACGGATGTTCATCTTCGGTGGGGGCATAAGTAACCACGACCACCATTCTTCGCCTCCGGTTGATGGGAAGGCGAGCCCAAAGTAGCCTGGGGCTTACAGCTTCCCACACCTCACCACCACGCTCCCACGCCCCCTTCATTCTTTTGTTCAAAAGAAGAGCCACACCCTGTTGTTTGGCAGTCTGCTGCCCCGAGTAGAGGACTGTCCACCCCTCATGATGGCAGGAGCCAGAACCGGTCCACCGGACCTCCTGAATGCCACATAGATCCAGGCGGTACCGGTCCAGCTCCCGACAGAGAAGTGGTAGCCTCTCCTCCGCAGTGAGCGTTCGAACATTCCACGTGGCCACCCGTAGTGGTTTTTCGTTGTTTCTGGAGGAGCCCCGAGGGTAGATATTCAATCTCCTGGCTCCGCCAATTGGGGTTTGGCCAGGAGACGTCATAGACGCCTGGCCCCCTGGGGCCTCCGGCACAAGCTTAATAGTTATATATTTAATTCGCGGTTTAGTGGTAATTAATTGAAGGTGGAGGGGTTACCAGCCCCTCGCACCCGTCCGGAGCCCCCGTTTAGCTCCTGTGGTGGACACAGATGCCATGAGGGGAGGAGCCAATCGAAATTGGACCTCCCCCCACAGCACTGTCCACGACAGAGTTGCCCGTCCGGCACCGCGACGAGGTAGGGGGTTGTTTTGCCACACACCGCCCCACACACCCACACTCACCCACCACCCCACACACACCCACCCTACACACCACCCACCAACCCCACACACACCCACACACCCACACTCACCCACCACCCCACACACACCCACCGCTCCACACACACCCACTGCCCCACACACCCACACTCACCCACCACCCCACACACACACACACACCCACCCACCACCCTACCCACACACACCCACACCCACCACCGCCCCACACACCCACACCCACCGGCCTCCCCGCCGCGTAGCCGCGCCTGCAGCTCCACGTTCCCTCTCGCCGCCCGTGCCGCCCCTGCCAGGCCCGCGTGCCTCACCAGGAAGCGGAGCGCCGCGGCCGGGGCCCCCCCGTGGACCCCCTCCAGGGGCGCCAGCGCCGGCAGCGCGGGGCGGCCGGTCCCGGGCCCGAGGCCCCCGGGGGAGGGCCCCAGGCCCAGCTCGGCGGCGGCCCAGCGGACCGCCCGGCGGGCCGGGTCGGCGTCGTCGTCCTCGGAGGAGGAGGAGGCCGTCGGTTCGGGGTGGCGGAGGGGCGGCCTGCGACGAGGGGGCCCCGTTGTCGGGGTCCCCGGGGGGGGGCGGTTGGCCGCCCGCTTCATCGGCACCCTTTTGGGGGGGGGTGGGGGTGAAGAGGAGGGGGGGGGGGCCAGACGGGAGATGCGTTCGCGTTCATGTCGGTGGCGTGGGTTCGATGGCGTTCAGTCGAGCGTCGTGGTGGCGGTCCTGGCGGTGGTGACGGTCGTGGTGGTGGTGGTGGCGGTGGTAGTGGCGGTGACAGTGGTAGTGGTGGTGGCAGTGGCGGATGGCACGGATGGCTACATCCAGCACGAAAGAAGTTCAACATCCATACATCACTGCACCATAGACTCAGCACCGCACCATAGACTCAACACCGCACCATAGACTCAACACTGCACCATAGACTCAACACCGCACCATAGACTCAACACCGCACCATAGACTCAACACTGCACCATAGACTCAACACCGCACCATAGACTCAACACTGCACCATAGACTCAACACCGCACCATAGACTCAACACCGCACCATAGACTCAACACCGCACCATAGACTCAACACTGCACCATAGACTCAACACCGCACCATAGACTCAACACCGCACCATAGACTCAACACCGCACCATAGACTCAACACCGTACCATAGACTCAGCACTGCACCATAGACTCAACACTGCACCATAAACTCAACACTGCCCCATAGACTCAACACTGCACCATAGACTCAACACTGCACCATAAACTCAACACTGCACCATAGACTCAGCACTGCACCATAGACTCAGCACTGCACCATAGACTCAACACTGCACCATAGACTCAACACTGCCCAATGACTCAACACTGCACCATAGACTCAACACTGCCCCATAGACTCAACACTGCACCATAGACTCGACACTGCACCATAGACTCGACACTGCACCATAGACTCAACACTGCACCATAGACTCAACACTGCCCCATAGACTCAACACTGCACCATAGACTCGACACTGCACCATAGACTCGACACTGCACCATAGACTCAACACTGCACCATAGACTCAACACTGCCCATAGACTCAACACTGCACCATACATACATTCATCATGTAGACTCAATACGCCGCACCTCCGATTAGCACGGTTTGCTACGTACCGTGCGAAAGAAGTTCAACATACATACGTAACATTACGGACCCCCTGGAAAAAAGAGAGATAGATAGAGATGGAGAGAGGGATGGACAGAGATGGAGGGATGGAAAAAGTGATGGAGGATGGAGAGACTTTGACTTTTAAAGAACTTTAATTGCCGCCAGCAGCAATAGCACTGGAGGCGAGAGAGATGGAGAGAGATGGAGAGAGATGGAGAGAGATGGAGAGAGATGGAGAGAGATGGAGAGAGATGGAGAGAGATGGAGAGAGAGAGATGGAGAGAGAGAGATGGAGAGAGAGAGATGGAGAGAGATGGAGAGAGAGAGAGATGGAGAGAGAGATGGAAAGAGAGAGATGGAAAGAGAGAGATGGAGAGAGAGAGATGGAGAGAGAGAGATGGAGAGAGAGGGATGGAGAGAGAGATGGAGAGAGAGATGGAGAGAGAGATGGAGAGAGATGGAGAGATCCGGCAGTACATGTACTAACATTGGAACGATACAGAGAAGATTAGCATGGCCCCTGCGCAAGGATGACACGCAAATTCGAGAGAGATGGAGAGAGAGGGAGAGAGATGGAGAAGGATGGAGTGAGGGCTGTGTGCAGATGCAGCACTTGTCGTAGTTTAAACAAAAGCGATCGAGAGAGAGCGCGACATGGAGTAGGAAGAGAGGGGGTAGAGAGAGGGGGGGGGGGCAGAGAGGGGGGTAGAGAGAGGGAGGGAAGGGGTAAGGAGAGCAGAGCCTGAAATCTTTTGTTAAATCTTTCATTTAAAAGGGGGGGGGGGGGGGTTACATAAAGCAAAGCATTGAAAAAAGACCGAAAAAAGACCGAACGAAGCAAAAAAAGAGAGAGATGGAGAGAGAGAGATGGAGAGTGTGTATACACACACACGTGTACACACGCACACACGTGTACACACGCACACACACGCACACACGTGTACACACGCACACACGTGTACACACACACGTGTACCCACGTGTACAGACACACACCCACGTGTACACACACACACGTACATCCACGTGAACACACACACGTACATCCACGTGTACACACACACACACGTACATCCACGTGTACACACACACGCACGTCCACGTGTACACACACATATACGTACGTCCACGTGTACACACACACACGTACATCCACGTGTACACACACACACGTGTACACACACAAAACAAAGATCCCCCATATAGCCTTAACAGACTGTAGGGGCAAGTGCTGTTAGCGAGCACCTATGAAGGCCGGAACGGTACACGAGGGGGTGGGTGGCCAGCACCACGCCCGACCGCCTTTGTCTCCCTAGTGGCAATGTTTACACACCGCACCAGGTACTCGTTTTGAGGCTGAGTCGACCTAGGGGAGGCCCGGGACCGGTTCAGATAATCGTCACTGGTGTTGGCCGTGAGCGGGAATCGAACTCGGGTCGCCAGGTTCATAGCGCAGCGCGCTAACCGCTACACTATCGCTCCCCACACACACCCACGTGTACACACACACACGTACATCCACGTGTACACACACACACATCCACGTGTACACACACACACGTACATCCACGTGTACGCACACACACACGTGTACACACACACGTGTACACACGTGTACACACACACACGTGTACACACGTGTACACACACACACACACGTGTCCCCACGTGTACACACACACACACACACGTGTACCCACGTGTACACACACACACACACGTGTACCCACGTGTACACACACACGTGCATCCACGTGTACACACACACGTGCATCCACGTGTGCACACACACACACACGTACAACTACGTGTACACACACCCGCGCACAGGGCAAACGCTCACAGCGAGGGGTAAACGTTTGTAGCAAACAAAAGATGAAAAACATTCCCCTACTGCTGCTCTGGCTTGGTGCGCACACACAAAGACAAAGATCCCCCACCGTGTAGCCTCTAACAGACTGCAGGGGCAAGTGCTGTTAGCGAGCAGCACCTGTGAAGGTAGACACAGACAAAGATCCCCCGTGTAGCCTCTAACAGGCTGCAGGGGCAAGTGCTGTTAGTAGCGAGTAGCACCTGCGATGGCTACCGGCACTGTGGCACACGAGGGGGGTGAGTGGCTACCAGCACCACGCCCGACCGCCTTTGTCTCCCCAGTGGCGACGTTCACTACTACACACCGCGCACCAGGTACTAATTTGAGGCTGAGTCGACCTAGGGGAGGCCCAGGACCGGTTTAGACAATTCGTCACCGGTGTTGGCCGTGAGCGGGGAATTGAACCTCGGGGTGGCCGGGTTCGTAGCGCAGCGTAGCGCTAACCACTACACCCACCACTCCCCACTGCACACGCACGCACACACACACGGACCGTCATCGTCATCATCCCCGGCGCAGTGACGCCGCGTTTGGCCCGAGGGTTCGCAGCGTCTGCGGTGTCTCTCTGTAGCACCCTGCCAGGTGATCATCAGCAGCAGCACCACCAGCAGCACCCAACCCCCACCACCCACCACCACCACCCACCCACCCACCACCACCCACCCACCACCCAACCCCCACCACCCAACCCCCACCACCCAACCACCACCACCCACCCACCCAACCACCACCCACCCACCACCCACCCACCACCCACCCACCCCCACCCACCACCACCACCCACCACCACCCACCACCCACCCACCACCACCCACCCACCACCACCACCCAACCACCACCACCCACCCACCACCACTCAACCACCACCACCCAACCACCACCACTCAACCACCACCACCCACCCACCACCCAACCACCACCACCCACCACCCAACCACCACCACCCAACCACCACCACCCACCACCCAACCACCACCACCCAACCACCACCACCCAACCACCACCACCCACCCACCACCACCCACCCACCACCCAACCACCACTCAACCACCACCACTCAACCACCACCACCACCACCACCCACCGTGCCAGTTCTTACGAGGAGGGAGGATGAGGAGGAGGGATGAGGAGGAGCAATAGGAGGATGCAGTTGGAGGAAGTCGCCCTCCAGCAACAACGGAGGAGCGACGCTCACAACAACGAGCGGAGCGCCGGGTGGCTAAACACAGCAAGTTGGCACAGTAGGGGGCACAGGTGGTGCACCGGCCAGTCATCTCAGTCATCTCAGTCAGTCGACCCCATGGGACCACCTGGGTCTGTCCCGTGACCTCCTGCCAGCGGGCGTTCGAAACTTCACGTGGCCTTAACGTGCACATAGCCTGGCACAAGCGTCGTGGTGACATCACCGCCACTTAGTGACACATGGCGGTTGTTGATGTCATTCGCAATGGTGGTGGTACTGTTGGTGCAGTGGTTTCCCGTCTGTGACGAGTTGGAGTGGTGGTGGGGTGAGTAGTGTGGCGTGGTGGGTGGGGGTGGGTGGGTGATGTGGGGTGGGTGTGGGGGTGTTTGGTGGTGGTGGGGTTGGATTGGGTGGAGTGTCATCGGACCGAGCGAAATGAGCAGCATAATGAGAATATAATTTGAGTCATTTCACATTTTCGCCGGCGATTATAACATCCGGCATATCACCAGGCGATTGACAGGATTGTGGAGAAGTCATCCTTCTTCCGGTCTAAAAGAAACTAAAACAACAATTTAATTTCTATACTCTTTGGTTCTATTTGGAAAAGTCACGTAGGTAAAAAAATAAAACAACAAAAATCACGACGTTTCGGCCACAACACAAGCAGCCTTCATCAGGTGAAGGGACCAGACTGTCTCGAAGACAGCGCTGGAGTGCGAGACAGCACGGTCCCTTCACCTGATGAAGGCCGCTTGTGTTGTGGCCGAAACGCCGTGATTTTTGTTGTTTTATTTCTTACCTACGTGGTGACTTTACCGAATAGAACCAAAGAGTATGGATCCTTGCAGTCACGAAAGCTTTAAATCTAGAAATGCCAATGTAGCAACAATGCCAATGCAGCAACAATGCCAATGCAGCAACAATGCCAATGTAGCAACAATGCCAATGCAGCAACAATGCCAATGAAGCAACAATGCCAATGTAGCAACAATGCAGCAACAATGGCAATGTAGCAACAATGCCAATGTAGCAACAATGGCAATGAAGCAACAATGCCGCAACAATGCCAATGTAGCAACAATGCCAATGCCGCAACAATGCCAATGCAGCAACAATGCCAATGTAGCAACAATGCCAATGTAGCAACAATGGCAATGAAGCAACAATGCAGCAACAATGCCAATGTAACAACAATGCCAATGTAGCAACAATGCAGCAACAATGCCAATGCCGCAACAATGCCAATGCCGCAACAATGCCAATGTAGCAACAATGCCAATGTAGCAACAATGCCAATGCCGCAACAATGCCAATGCAGCAACAATGCCAATGTAGCAACAATGCCAATGAAGCAACAATGCCAATGTAGCAACAATGCCAATGTAGCAACAATGCCAATGTAGCAACAATGCCAATGCCGCAACAATGCCAATGCAGCAACAATGCCAATGTAGCAACAATGCCAATGAAGCAACAATGCCAATGTAGCAACAATGCCAATGCCGCAACAATGCCAATGTAGCAACAATGCCAATGCCGCAACAATGCCAATGTAGCAACAATGCCAATGAAGCAACAATGCCGCAACAATGCCAATGCAGCAACAATGCCAATGCAGCAACAATGCCAATGTAGCAACAATGCCAATGTAGTAACAATGCCAATATAGTAACAATGCGAATGCAGCAACAATGCCAATGTAGCAACAATGCCAATGTAGCGACAATGCCAATGTAGTAACAATACCAAACGCTGGGGATGCTGGGGGGGGATATTAACTCGGAAAAATAGACGAGTACCCGGCAGATATGATGGAACAACATCCTTCCAATGATTGCTCAATTTGTATCCATCTTCTCGGTTTAAGTTACGTCTACGTTTATAGATTTGGATGGCTTCATGAACAAACCTTTGATAGAGTAGCCCGTGGGTTTGCAGAGCACCTTGGTCTCGGGGGGAAAAAAAGACGTCGTGATTTAATTTATTTTATTTTCTACCTACGTAGAAAGCTTAAAATCTAAACTGATATTGTCTTTTTTTATTTAAAGCTTTCGTGACTGCAGGGATTCATATTCTTGGTTCTTTCGGTAAAGTCACCACGTAGAAGGGAAACAATAAAATAATACAAATATAAAACAATAAAATTCTCACGACGTTTCGACTGCAACACAAGCAATCATCATCAGGTGTGAAAACCACAGCAAGAAAATTTGAAAAAAGCGGCGTTTTTTATTTTCTTGCTGTGGTTTTCACACCTGATGATGATTGCTTGTGTTGCAGTCGAAACGTCGTGAGAATTTTATTGTTTTATATTTTTATTATTTTATTCTTGCTGTGGTTTTCACACCTGATGATGATGATTGCTGCTTTGTGTTGCAGTCGAAACGTCGTGAGAATTTTATTGTTTGATATTTTCATTATTTTATTGTTTCCCTTCTACGTGGTGACTTTACCGAAAGAACCAAGAATATGTTATCGTCTTCATCGTCGCCGCCGTGTGGCAACG